ATTTACAGTTGTTTTGCTGTTTATAAATATGCAATGTCCTCATTTAAATAAAATAAATGGAAAATGGAAAAAATTATTAATTTTTACTAATTGTTTAACACATTTTGGATTAGAGCTGCAGCTACTGATTATTTAAATAATCGCTTAATCTGCCACAGGAATTGTTAAGATTATGGAATTAACAGAAATGGCTTTTACCGTAATTTCCGGACTATAGAGCGCACCTCAATAAAAGCCGCACCAACAAAAAAAAAAAAGGTTTTCTACACACACACGCCACACTCAAATACAAGCCACAGCGCAGCAGCCACATGCGGGTCTCCGGCGCACAGTGCATGTAGGGCCATAACATAAGATAATTAGACAGAAAGACGCTACATGGAAGTTTTTCGTTGTTGTTTTAATTCAACAAAACAAATTTTAAACATGGGTGAACGAGCCTGCAAGTTTAAAAAGAAAACAGCACTGATAGCATTCATATTTCTGGATGGTTATAAAATAAAAACAGAACTGACACGTTATTACCGGTCATTTGCATGTTTAGAAGAAAAGAACAGCGCTGACACAGCATTAATAAGCCCTGGATGATTAGAAAATAAAAACTGCACACAAAACATGCCTGGTTAGTAAATAAAACACAGTTGCCTACCAGAAAAGTCATTTGCTCTCATCTTCCTCTTGTGCACTAAAGCCATTAAAGTCATCTTCTTCAGTGTCGGAGCTGAACAGCCTCAGAAGAGCTTCGTCACATACTTTTTCTGTGGCAATGTCAGTGTCGCTGTCCGTGTTGCTGTCATCCTCCCTGGGTGAAGCTGGCTTGAATGAGTTCTCCGTCTCCAGCGCTGAACCATGGATTCATTCATTCATGCCAAGCTTACGTGCGGCAGCACTGTTTCCCTCCTTTACTGCCAGATCGATGGCCTTCAACTTAAATGCGGCATCATATGAACTCATACGTGTAGTTTCCATGATGAGGGGGTATGGATTTGAAAGAAATTATTCGTCGTGCCAGCTGCTTGCATGTGCTAAATTAAAATGAGCACTTTCTTCTATTTCCACTTTTGACTTCCACCCATTTCACTTTCTGCTAAAGCGCCCCCTGGCAGGTGAAGGAAAATCTTCAGTAAAGCCGCACCTCATTATAAGCCACATGGTTCAAAGCATGGAAAAAAGTAGCGGCTTATAGTCCAGAAAATACGGTAATTGAATTTAATATGTGGTCAGAATCAGCAGTGTTCATGAACACACGCCTGAAATTACCAACATATATTAATATTGTGTGAAGAAGCTTAAACTCTACGGACATGTTGACCAACCTGCTTCTCTTCTAACCTCGCAAAAATTTTTGCGGTAAAAAATTGCTTGAAAACTGCGACCTGTTGACAATCTACGACAACCATGCCACAGTCATTTTAATCCTTGATACATAAGAAATCATCACGGATTCTTTCAAGCATTTTGACTGATTTTGGCACTGGAACCATGAGGTCAAACATGAGGTAACCTGATTTCTTAATATTTGTGGGATATTTTCAGATTTTTTTTATGCGTTTGATGTTTTCTGGTGTTTCCTGATAATTCACAATCACTTTGAATAAAAGAATGATTGAACGTGTTTGGCACAAACCAAACTAATTTCAGTTGACCTATGTAATCGGAATTGTGTAGGTAGAAGCAATAGCTTAGAATGTACATCTACCCCTTTTACTTTAGAAGATGACACAAAAACAGAAAATGTTTAGCATTTTGGTGGAAAAACACAGTGATGTTTGTTTTCTATTAATTATTCTAACAGATCATTGTAACAGTACTCATTTGATTTAATCTAAAGTGGTGTTATTTTAGGTTGGAACACATAGGAAGCCAAACTACAAGAGAAAAGGAAGTATGAAGAAGTGAGCACATGAGAAGTTGAGGAAGATCTGGAGCTACAGCAATTACAACAGCTTCTGTTGTGGTTTCAGTTTCTGAGTAGGACAGCGATGAATTGGATGTTGCAGACTGTGCGAGCTTAGATGAACGGGACTTTGAGACCAACGATAGGAAACTAAAAGCTACTATACTTCTGAACAGAGGCAAACTGACAATCTGTAAGTTCTGGAGAATCCCAGAACGGCCGTTGTGCTCCGGGCCGCCGTAGACTTTAACAACAATCCACCATACCCGCTCGGAGAAGTTAATACAGAAGCAGCCCCCCCACCCCCCCACCCCACCACCCCACCACCACCACCACCACACACACACACACACACACACACACACACACACACACACACACACACACACACACACTAATGCACAAGGCCAGGGTTGAATTCTCATCCCAGCCTACTCCTGCTTCTGAATAAAGCATTACACTAACTTCCTACAGTCTGAATTGTATCTGGTGTATGGAGGTATTCATATCTAATAAAACACAATTCTTACTCACCAAGTTTAAACTAGTGGAAAAGATAAAAATGTCCAAGGTCTCTATAACACTGCTAAATAGATACACATCATCAGCATACAATGACACTGTCCTATTGACCCTTTGCACGTGACGCCACGCCACTCATGTGACCGCCCCCTTCGCCATGATGGACGGAAAAAAGACCGTTCACACCCGTAGAAACTCCAGTGAAGGTAGTCAAAACAAGCCAGTTTGTAGCCTTTTATCGCTTTTATTTAGTTGATTTGACAGTAAAATAATAATAATAATAATAATACATTTTATTATAAATGGTTTTAGCTTGCTGCATTGTTGGCTGCACTAAGAGACAAGGATGTAAACTCAACTCGTTTTTTCTTTTTAATAACATTGATGGAAACTGAGGACGGAGATGAACTGCAGCGACCAATCAAGCGGACTAGCAGGCCTCAGATTTGCAGTGAACATGTTTTTACCAGGTAAGATTGATGTTTATTTTGTAAGGTTATGAAGTTTATTATTTTCAGCTCCACACAGCTGCCCTGTACACAGTAACACCCGTGTATAAAAGCCAAGGTCGGGTGTTCCTCAGACTGTTTACATTCCAGGAGAAGAGTCCGAAGGAGAAGAAGAACGCTTTTACTTAATCAAAGTACTTTATTTGTGATTAAAAATATTAAGCAAAATATATGTTGATCAATAATAATCAAGTGAATGATCTGTGGAATAAAGATTATGTGTTTAATGAAAACAGGACTACTGCACAGACAGACTGACCCTCATCTCCATAGAAACGCATGACACATTGTTCCAACCAATCAGAGCTTTCGGCTGCCGCAAGAGAATCTGGTGTTGACTTAAAGTGTCCAATCCACTTTACTAAAACTTATCAACAATTCAGAGATATAAAACAAGGCAACGCCATTTTAAGCTCAGTTCCATTTTGACTTCAGTTCTATTCACCGTCATCCTAAAGAAAAGCACAGACTGGCCAGATGTGTTTTCTTCTTTAAACTAAGAACTGTGAAGTTGGAGATTTTCGTCGTTTAACAACCAGACGACATCCTTTCAAAATAAGAGCACCTGCTGACGCTGTCGATTGGTACCGGGGTCGACCCTTCAGACGGGATTTGAAACGCTGCGACCGCTGCGCCGACAGCTCCAGCGCACATCTGAGGTCTCCAGACCTGGCATTTCCTGATCTACCTGGGAGGCCCCCCACTGGGTACGTACACGGCAAAATAGCGGCTCATGTCATCACTTTATAAGCCTCGTGATATCTAGTCATAACAAAGACGACCAGATTCAATGACGTCAGCCTAAGGAGTCTGAACCAACCACACACACACACACACACGCACCAACACAACATCCAAATCCATTTTCATCCATCACAGAGTTAGTCCTGGTAGATTGTTTAGAATTTATAATTAAGAAATTAAAGATTCTCAAACGATCCCAACAATCTCTCTTTTCTGGTCTCAAAGTCAATACAGAGTGTTTAATTAAACTCCCTGATGATAAAAACAGCCTATTCTTCTGTTTATAAAAAGTGATCTACTTACAGTGTATTAAAATACAACTCTAGATAGTTACATCACTTCAATTCCGTTACAATTTATTTCACGAGGAAGACAGGGACAGGGATAATCCTGATAGATGGGTATTTCACCACAGAGGCTGCGCTCCGTCCGCTGTAGTGTAAAGCGAGACAATTATTAACAATATTAAAGCTCCGTTATATGATTACGTGTGTTAAATTACGTTATTTATTTATATGAGCGTCGCCGTTTAGAGATCTTCTCATTCCGGTGTGAGAGCAGCAGCTGAACCCAGTAACACCACCAGCAAAAGCTGGTAGGGATCCGGACTTTGTAACAATCAACTTTGGTGTAAAGTGAAATGCTGTTTATAACATAAAGTTATAAATCCAGCGGGCTGAACTTAGGCAAAGTCAACAACATGTTTACATCGGTGAACAGCTGCAGAGAGAACGTAAGCTAACGTTGGTAAACCCCGGCTAGATGCGCTACTTCTTCTGATAACTGAACTGGGCATGAACTAGTTGAAGGAATGCTGGAGGAGTTTTGTTTTAGTTTTGATCGCAAAAACAATTTCAGGCTCTACTTTCCCCTTTGTTTAGTAATCGTGTTGCTCACCGTTTACATGCTTTTGCCGTCCAGCATGGTGGACCCACGTGATTAGGTGACATTAGTGCAAAGGGTCAATATGTGCTTCACATGTCCTGCCTGAGACACTCCCATGTCCCAGTTTGGCAGGCATAGCTCAAAGGTTTTAGCGAACACTGAAAGAGCATAAATTAGAATTTTCCCGACATGCCTTCCCTCTTCTTCAATAGGAAACAGTCCGACAAACTGTTCATGTTCCTAATAACCCCCCCCCCCCCCCATCTACCCCTGTTGCAACTGTGAAAGCATTCATCTGTTTGTTTTTTTAGACCACAGTAGACTCTGATCATCAGTCCGCTGAGATAATTTATGAGTTAAATGTAAACTAAACTTGAATTAAAATTTTCAGCAACGATAGAGATAGGATGAAGTTACAGTTGATTTAATTTAAATGGATTTACCTTGTTTTTACTACATCAAGTGGATGCATCAAGCAGATCTCCACCAGACCTGAAACGGGAAAACAAACCAGCTTTAGTTTCAGTTCACTGTTAATCACAGCAACAGTATTCATACTAGGGCTGGGCGATATGGCCTAAAATCAATATCACGATATTTTGAGGATTTCACCTCGATAACGATAAATGGACGATAACTACAGGTATGCACAGAAACTAAATTGGTCCACATGGATAACGTTGAGTCATGTACAGCTTCTTAAAGGGACACAAGCGTTGCCAACCTACACAAATCTTTTCATCTTTTTTATTACCAAATTTATTGACATGGGAAAAATTATCTCAATAAGAGTCAGAAATTTCAATTACTGATGCACCGATACAAAATTTTTGGGCCGATTAAGATCACAGTTATGGCCGATTACAGATATTTGCCGATAACCAATATACTGACATTAATGCTTCTAAAAATCTGCAGATTTTGTATAGAATGAAAATTATTGAAGCTGAATTTACATTATTATGTACACACACCACACACATTTACGGTTCTGAGATGATTACATTCACTGTCACATGACTAAACAATTAAACATCACCCCCTCACCCTCTGAAACAGGCAAACAAATGGAGATGAGATGGAAAAAATATTGGTTGTTAATATCGGCCCAGTTTTATTTATCGAGCCAATATGTTAAAAAATGACTAACATCGACCAATACCAATATTGATGACGATATATTGTCCATCCCTAATTTCAATAACAATACATTTTCTATTACCCAGCCCTAATTCATATATAGGTAATCCAAGCAAACAGTATTACAGTGAGTTTACAAAATTGCAAAGGTGTCATAACTAGATAAAAATATGCAGAAGATGACATGTGCCTCCTCAGAATTATGAGCATAATAGCTCATTAATAACTGGGAGTGATGTGATTGGAAGAAACAACCGGAGAACTAAAACAGAAAATTCTGTTAAATTTTCTAGTGCTGGATGAAAATTTATGACAACTGAAAATGAGACAGTTTTATTTATTTTTTGTTTTGTTTTTGAAAACAACAATAAAAAGAGTTATTGTATTCTCTATTTATTTTGGCTTTTTGAACTGAGTGTGGTTCACTCATTTAATCAATTCATTTGCAGTGGTCTCTAGTAGGAATGAATGCCTTGTAAGTCGTACTCAGGGGGAAAAAAGCTCAGATGTGCCTGTTTTAGGAATTACAAATCAGCTGGAAGAGAAAGTAGCTTCAAACAGGATTTGGATATCTCGCATCTGATTGGCTAACCGCAATGCAACTACAACTGACTGTTGGCTTTGCAACATTGTGTCACACCCTGTCCTGTCTCCCCATTTGGTTCAGCCTGGGTCTCTGTTAATTGCTCCCACCTGCCTCTCGTTTTCCAATCACCCAAGCTCCCAGCCCTCTTGTATTTAAACCCCTTCAGTTCTGTGTCTCTTTGTGGATCATTGTTTCATTGTCCAGCGTGCGATCATTAAATACTTTTACTCGTGCTGGTTTGTCTGCCTGCCTGCTTCCCTCACCTGCATGTGGATCCTTGCATCTGCTTCACTCACTGCCACGCGCTGACACATTGATGTTTTTATCAGCACAAATAACAGATAATATGTCTGAAGGAGCTCAGCTGTGTGGTGGAGTTGCTAATGCTAACAGTTAGCATCTACTAGCCTGCACCTGCTATCCGTGAGACGGGGGGTGGGATTTTTTTTATTCAGTGTGAGATGATGAAGATGTGGCGTGACAGCGTGTAATTAGGATCAGATGAGTGTGTCCCACGCTCAACGAGCCTGAGTTGGCAGCCCAGATATTAAGTGACAGTGTGATGTAGATCGGTCAGGATTTTCAAATCCTAGAGTTTCACCATCTATTTTCTATCAGAAGTTAATGCAGGAGATAGGTGTAGGAGACTGTTTTCATGTTCAGCCAGCATGAAAAACTCAAAGTGACCCATCATAATCAGAAATAAGATTTAAAAAATGGCTTTTCAGTGTTCCGAACCTTCAGAGACGTAAAATAACTACAAAATAAAGCACCATCCTAATCAGAGTAACTCGTACATCTAAGCTGTAAATACACTTGTTAATCACACAAAGAACTATTTAAGACAGTCAAATGAAAACAAGACAGCTGAGTTGCTTTTGGGAAGCACTTTTACATCATTAGTAATAATTATTAGCAACCTTTCGTTTATATAATCTTTGAGAATAACATAAAGAAGAACAATGCTGATTTATTTATATTTACTTAATAGAAATTTCACCCACTTGTCTGCTGATATTTTACTTGACAAAATCTTGATTTAGGAGCAGTTTTAAAATTTGAACTGCAAACGATAAAAAATAAATAGATAAATAAAAAAAAATTAAACACAATTCAGCTAATTTCTTCAACATCATTATTATCACAAATTTAGTAGTTCCTTATGAAGCGGTCCAAAAACCTGGATGGGATTTTCACTGCAAACTGTCTCAAAGGTCCAAACTCAGTTTGTCAACAGATGTATCAAGTGTTCAGAAATCATTTCAGCTGGGTGGTGATTTGGAGGCTGGGAGGTTTTCATACAGATGTTAGCTATGTGCATCTGTGCTGAGCGTCAGAGGCCATCTGATTCCATCAAGTTGTTTTAAACTCACGAGTCTCACAGCATCCTTCCACTGCTGCCTCAACAACTTCCCTTCAGATTCCTGTGTGTGTACACAGCTGCTGTGCACATAAGAGGCCTTTCTAATTTGCTCAATTAAACATATTGTCTATAAAAGAGTGAGTCTTCTGGGACTTTTCCAGGGAAGTAATTATCAAGCAAAATACCACAGAAAAATGACTTTGCACACAGCTTTATCTTAATATTTAAATGGGAAAACCAAGAACTACTGAACTGACGGATGGCCAGGAGTCAAACAAAATTCCTTATGTCAGAGTCACACGATCTGATTTTTACAGTTAATTAAACGACTATGAAAAACTACGGCAGATAGGAACAATCATTACTTTTCAACTCACTATGAATAGCTCTGCAGTGGGGAAATGCTTATCAAATATTTCTGCAAGTAATCAGATTACAGGGTGAATCTAAACCTGTTCGTCTGCTCCATCAATTTGTGCAAACACAAAAGGCAGTGGGAGGTGACAGAAGGTGAGCTAAAGATGGAGGACAAAAAAGCGACTGAACACAAACAAGGACAACAAATATGAGAAAGAAAACCTCAAAACATATAAATGGCCTTAACTGCGTTGTGACCACAGCCAGTTCTGTGTTGAAACATAACTTAACACTGAGTGGAACATATTCTCTGAAACAACACCTCTAAAAAGATGTGGGTTGAATGTTAGCTAGCAGCTAACATCAGAGCCATAACCTTTACGCTGGAAGCTGTCAACGGATCAAGTGATGACAAGCTAAAATGCAAATCTTTTGTGTTTCGTGAGCATCTGTCTGACAGTCTAGCAAAGGAGATGTGTTAACAACAGTTGATGGCAGATGAGACGACAGGCTGCGCAGGTTTAAAAGAAAAGGTAAAAAGGCAGAAGGTTTAACCCTAAACTTACATTTATAGAATGCCTTGTTTAATCTGTAACTGTAAAAGTTTGACCATTCTACCCATCTCTCCTTATGAGGAAGTCAAAGTAAAACAGAACACTGGATGTCCATTTACAGACATGAGAAAAAAGAAACACAACATGCTTCATTACAATGTTTTCTTACCATCTCCAGGATTTTTTGAACTCCAGTTTCATACGTGATGTTTTTATTTCACATAAAGCTAACATTTAAACATCATTTATTTTGACTCAAGGCTAATGCCATCAGCTTTCTCTGACAAGCAGCTTCTCACTTCTCTGTGACACAGTGCATCCCACTTTTCTGCTCCAGCTGTCAGCACATGCTACTGTTTAATCATAGAGCGTGGCAGTGGTGAACCCACACACTCTTGAGAGTACCTCACAACCCTCGCTCTCAAGTAAAAGCTGAGAATGCCGTGGGCTCAGTGAGAGTATGATGTGACAGAGTTGTGAATATGAACCCCTTTTTTTTGTTGCTGCATTTTGGTTCCAACTTGCTGACGTTCGCCTTCTTCCCGCTGCAAGCAAGGGCAAAATATTACAACAAAGTGCCATCTGGCTGACGTTTAGGGGTTTACCAGGTATCAGTGAGTTGCATATGGGGATAGTAGAGACCTGAAGATAAAAGGCTGACTGATGTGGTTTTTCTCAAGGCAGATGCTGATACAGATTTTTAAAGAATTTTTGTTGCCAGTGGCTGATACCTAAAGCCGATTATTAGGCGTATATCTATCTCTCTCTCTCTCTCTCTCTCTCTCTCTCTCTCTCTCTCTCTCTCTCTCTCTCTCTCTCTCTCTCTCTCTCTCTCTCTATATATATATATATATATATATATATATATATATATATATATATATATATATATATACGTTTTAGCAGCACATTGATTGTGAAAGAAAACTGAACACTCACTGTGTGCAATATAATTTAAGTAGGTCAATAAATCTCTTAATATTTATTGAACTTCAAATATAAAAAAACACTAAACATAACAAACACGGTGTGTTGGGGTCCTTCGGGTCCTTTCTTCAGTCTAGTAGTGGCGGCAGTTGGCCACACAGGTGCCTGATTTTTTTTTTATTTTTTAAATCGGCCTTTAAAAATAATTTCGGCTGATGACCAATATAGAAAAAATTTAATATATCGGCCGGCCTCTACTAAAGACTATTCATCAACCACACTGATCATGTAAAGCAGGCGTGGGGAACCCTGGTCCTTGAGGGCCGGTATCCTGCACGTCTTTGCTCCAACACTTCTGATTCAGTGGTTGATTCACCTGTTCAGCAGCTCATCAGGCTCTGCAGAAACCTGTTAATCACCTGCTGATTGAAGTCAGGTGTATTGAAGTAGGCTGAAACTAAAATATGCTGAAAGGCGGCCCTCTATGGACCAGGGTTCCCCACCCCTGATGTAAGGCCTTGCTGATACACACACATATACACACACATAAAAAGTTTGAGACATC